AAAAGTGTCCTGAGATAACTTGAGATAACCGTTATGATTTGGCGCTATACAAATAAAACTGAATTGAATAAACAACAACATTATCAATGTGGTGTGGTAGAGTTAATTGTATTAGATCATACAGGTGAAGCTCCAAGCTGGTAACTATACATCTATTCCACTGTCTGCACATACCTGGCATTATCCACCACCTTCCTGCCCCAACGGTAAGCCCAGCTGGCCAGGGCTGCCCAGGACTTTGCCAGCTCTGGAGCCAGGCTGGTGGAGAGCTGGTAAAGTTGGCCCAATACGAAGTCTGGCTCCCCAACACCAACACTCACTGCACAGGGAACACCACCAAGATTAAAATTTAAATAGAATGTAAAAAGTACTGTTAAAATACAGCAGCGTAGGCCGACCCTATTCAGGTACGGACAGTTTACCTAGGAGACAGCTTTATTCCTAATAAGATGATTATTTATTGTTTTTGACTGATGTTGAATCCTGAACAAAACCAGTTCAAGAATGAGAGCTAATTTGGTGGAAAAGGAGTCCTCCCAGTCCACACTTCTTTTCCAAATAGTTTACATCTGGAGCCACGATTGCATTGTGTCATTTTACCTACAATCACATTTCAACTCGTAACTAATCATGGATGTATGTGCGTGCTATGTGCATGAATGTGACTACGTAACAGGCCAATATTGAAACAAAATATTACAGGAAAAAAAGAAAAAAAACTTTGAAACGGGATCTATTATGCTAATTTCAGCTCTATATTCTCATTCACTAGAGTAGCTTTGCATGATTCACTCGTTAAAAACATCTTTATCTTATACTGGTCCTTCATGCAGCCCTTCAGTTCATCCTCTGTCTGCAACAGCCAGCTCTTTAAGCAGTCTGAATTCTGAGCTTTTTGCTCACAGGGATTACTTTTACATATGTTTACCAAATTTTTTGACACTTTAATATCAATATCTAACTTTGTAACATTATATGACAGAAAATAAGGAAAAGCAAATATCAGTCCTTTAAATAACATTTCAGTGAACTCATAGTACTGTCATTCAAATTTTTTTAGTATTATTTTGACAGTGTTGTTTCATCAGTTTGAATAATTATTTATTTTTTAAAATCAGATATTCCGCTTTGTACCACTAGAGGCAGCTTGCGTACCACCAGTGAGACCATAGTTTGAGAACCAGTGGTCTAGAGGTACGAAGACTTTAACATGTGTCAGGTATGAATACTTTTCTATCTTATAATCTAGGTGAGCTTGTATTGTAAATGTTACCTGAGGTCTCAGCGACGATGTGAGGAATGCCCTGTTCTTCGAGGGGAAACTCCAGCAGAGCAGAGATATTCCTGCTCAGAGGTGACATGCTGCTCACAGCACTGGATGAGTTTACTGCTCCTGACTTCTTTACAACCTAGACCAAAACATCACCAGTCCTTATAGGTTATTTCCCCCCCTTAATAATACCACCACTTGGTGTAAATGAGGACTACACTATGATAAGGAAAACAATTCTTGTGTTTGACAGCTAAATAGCACTGTGTAAAGAAAGTAAACAAATCACTGCTGTGCATTTTTTTACTTTTACGAAAAATGATCAGAGAATATTCCCAATAAACATCTCAGTAACATCACATACATTTCACAGCAGTGAAATTGAGAGCACATTAAAGGTAGAGCTGTATTGAAAGGTGAGCATGCCTGTTTAAGCTGAGGTGTCATGTCCTTCCAGTCAGCCAGCAACCATTTGCAGAGTGTCAGCAATGAACGGCAGGCAGCTCCTTCATTCTTCCCCACATGGCAGTAGGACAGAGCAGCCCTGCTCAGCATCTCCATGGCTGTCATGGACTGGCCTTTAGACAGAGACACTGCTTAGAGGAAACTGAGGATCGTGTTCTGAGCAATACATTTAAAACACAATTGAGAAATGTGCGTGTGCTAAAGCATGCAGGCTCATTCACTGTGAGATGTATTTGAATGTTAAAGTCACTCTGGACAGATATAATGGAAATTCCAAGCTTGGTCCTTGCCAAAAATCACCCTTATATTGCAGCAGCAATATTTCAATGTCTCCTGTTCCTCACCTGCAGTTCTCAGGACTTTGGCTTTTTCTATCTGCAGCTCTGGTCCCCATTTCTCGCCCAGAGTTCCCTCCAGGGTAAGTTGCCTGAAGGCCTTGCTTAGCTCATCCTGGTGCTCCTCCTCTTGTGTCCCATCACTGCACTGGCTGAGCAGGCGGGACGCCAAGGCAATGTTGCCTTTTTTCCGAGCAAATTTGACAGCAGTCAGACACAGCTCCATTAGGTGGCCATCTATGGAGGAAGAGTAACCTGGACAACAATGGAATCAGGTTTATTGCCAGGTAGGTTTTTACACATACAAGGAATTGGTGCATTGGTGCATAAAATATACAAATCAACACAAAAATCAAACCCATAGAATAGTAACTTTTAAAATATAAATAAATAAAGATAAGAAAGATAGGAAAGATAAGAAAACTGTACAGAAAACAGGAGTGCATTAATGTAATGCCATGCCTGTATATACAGGGTGGTTTAAGAAGTCAGAGTCAGTGCCAGTGGGGGGTCGGGGCCTTGTTAATGAGGCCCAGATGCAGATGGAAAGAAACTTTTTGTTGCGTGAGGTTTTGGTCCTCATAGAACTACCTTTTGATCTTGTGGAGGAGTTGTCATCCTGGAACATGGTGTATGCTGAGGGCCTGAAGGAAAGGCTGGACATCCTGCTGTTTACAAGAAGCTTAGAGCTCGCTGGACAGGGAATCACAAAGTTCCTGCCAAAGAATAGAAACAACAAGCTTGTTTTCTATGGTCAGAACAATAGTTAGTATTTACTTTTGTTGATTTTTTTGGTGCCGTTTCTTTAGGTTAACACTGGCCTCTGAACAGGCCAACCAGGGCTTAAAGAAAGTAAAATACGGCGTTCATTTTCCAGCAGCCTTCAATTCAATTCAATTTATTTTGTAATAGCAAGAATTCATAACCCCAAGAAGTTATCTCAGGACACTTTTCAAATAGAGCAGGTCTAGAGACCGAAACTCCTTAATAGCAATTATTTACAGAACCCAACAGTACCACCCATGAGCAAAGACAGACAGACGCACAGCACAACAGTAGCAACAACTACACTAATAGTAATGAACTGATGATGATGAACATGAAGAATGACGACAGACAAACGATGGGGGAAAACAAATGAGCAGTGACAAAATAGTAAGTAATAGTAACCTGTAAGTAATATGAATATTAATACTGTTGGGATCCGGCAAGGGTACCTTTAAATTATGAACTTGTTCATTTGAAAGTGTTTAACCTGAAACAGAAAGGAAAATGTTGAATCTGACCATGTTGCTCAGAAACAAAAGAATCTCTGAAGGCGCTGTTTGTAAGTCATAAACCTTTCTAAAGTAGTGGTTGGACAAAAGGAGAACACCCGCCCCGCCAGATAGCAAACCGCCCTCAATGTGTGTGTGTGTGTGTGTGTGTGTGTGTGTGTGTGTGTGTGTGTGTGTGTGTGTGTGTGTGTGTGTGTGTGTGTTCAAGAAATTCTCTCTCCATCTAAACCTTGCCGCTCCTGCCTGCCACAACACCCACCCTGGTGATAAGTTCTGGACCTGCCGGTGCGGCGCCTGACCCCCACCGATGACGCACGACCAAGGATTATAGCACGGCACAAAAGTCTGCTTTTTCCCCACCCATCGCGGCAGCAGAGACAGTTTGGATTTCAGAACAATTAATTCCTGAATCAGCCTGGCTCCACCAGGAACCGCCAGCTGACCACCGCAGCCTCACCCGGGCAACATCTTTTTCTTCCCCATCTTCCCTTTGGAACCGTTTGGTAAACGTACTGGGCCCTAGACAGACAACTTAACCAGAGGTTAACGGCTTAAAACAAGGAACTGTTTAATTATTGTTAATGTTGCTGATGGGTTTTATTCAGGTTAACTGTGGTATTTGATGTGAATTTGATTAACTGAGGTTACTGTAGTCTTTGAAACCAGTGCTAAGGTGATGTTAGTTTAATGGCCAATTCACAAACCCCAGACATCGTCCTTTTGCATACACCTTACTCCTTTTTTACGGGCACCGTTAATGTTAAAATCACACACACACACATATTTGGTCCTAAGTACGACACATGGAGAGGGAATTCAGCCTGCCGCCTCATCTATTGCTCTGTGTCTCCTCAGGAACACAGGACATAAGCCTTTTATGAACCCCGCCAATGAAACACACCACACACACACCACCACACACACCCCACACACACACCCTTTAGTTCTTTTAAAGTTAGATTGTATATTGTGTGATTTTTCTCTGTTTTGCTTTTATTATATCTGGCTATTAAATGGTTTTGTGTTTACCATATGGCTGGCGCTATTTTACTATTTCGTACCAAGAGTGAGTGATACCAACCTCTTCCTAAAAATGTAAACTCCCCAAAGCTCCCCGCTCACTATTTATTAATGATTTTGGTGGTTAATTATTAAATTTAATTATTAAGTGCTGACTTCCTGAATTGATAAGTTTAGGTGTAAATTTATGAGAACTGATTAATAGATTATTGGTTATCGCTTCCCCCTTAATTTAAGGGTGGTCCCCGAGGAACTTTATTAAATTAAAGTCATTTTTCTATTATGCTTTTGATAATTAATAAATTTTGATAACCATTAATTGATTAAATTATTACCAGTTAAGACCCAACCTCCTACAACCGCTACGTCGTAGAAGCCGCGACCAAAAAGCCTGGTTCAACCACAGGGAGGAGCTTGGTAACCTGAAGGCTCTGGCTCCTGTTTCTACTTTTAGAGACCTAGAACCACAAGTAACCCTGCAATCAGAGAACGTAGTGTTTCTAGAGGGGGTAATAGGGTAGCTATGAGCTTTTAAAGATATGAAGGGGTCCTGGACCAATGAGAGGCTTTGAAGGTGAGGAAGGGAGGAATTTTAAATTCCCCCTATTCAGAATTGAAAACCCCAGGGAGCCCAAGTGCATAGAAAGCTAATCAAGAGAAGATTGATGCTCCTTTTCTAGTTCCTGTCAGTAACCTCGTGCTGGCAGCGTTCTGAATTAATTGGAGGCGTTTTTAAATGGAAGCTTGATTAGGGCAAAACCTGATAATAAAGAGTTTCAGTAATCCAGGCCTAAAAGTAAGCAAATGCATGGTTAGTTTTTCTGCATCTGTTCTGTGATAGGATGTGTCTAATTTTTGTAAATATTACGTAAATGAAAGAAAGGGCAGTCAGGAAG